TACCCACTGTGGAGCAGCATTACTAAAGCAGCTTGAATAAGTCAGCAATGGTTTACTTATTACAGCAGTATTGTTGTGGGGAACTGCATTCCAAGGGGAGGTCCTACATTAGGGCTTGTAGACGAAAACAACAGGACTCTACCTACTCAAGAGTAAGCCCAGCTGAAGAGGAAGAAAAGTTGCATAAGCTTGCACTGCTCCAAATTTATTGCAGCATCAGTTTCCATGGACAAGAGCCCATTTCATCCTAGTGCAGTAGACAAGAGGTCAAAACTCCTGGCAATGATCAACTGACACGTTAGGCTCCGGCCCTACCAGCCATTGGCAATAAATCAGCCAACTTGACACTTTTTTATTTTTATTTTTAAAGTCACCTTGTTTGCTTTGGTTTAAAAAGCCTGGGCCCTCTTATAACGCCACGGTTTGGGGCGTCTCTAAAGAGGGACTGGACAAATTCAAGAAGGAAAAAGCGCCTCAGAAACTACAGGTAGTCTTCAACTTATGACCATAATTGAGCATAACATTTCCGTTAAGTGAGTTTTGCCTCATTTTACGACCTTTCTTGTCACAGTTGTTAAGTGAACGGCTGCAGCTGATAAGTTAGCAACCGGGTTGTTAAGTGAATCTGGTTTCCCCATTGACTGTGCTTCTCAGACGGTCACAAACAAGTCATCACATGACCTTGGGACACAACAACGGTCATAAATATGAGAGCCAGTTGCCAAGCCTCTGAATTTGTGACTACATGACTATGAGGATGCTGCAAAGGTTGTAACTGTGAAAAACCTTCCTAAGTCACTTTTTCCCAGTGCCCTTGTAACTTTGGACAGTCGCTAAATGAACGGTTGTAAGTCGAGGACTACCTGTATATGGAGGACCTCAAATGCAAAGGAGATGGGCAAGAAGCAGGAGATGCCTTCGGGGACCTTGCTGGGCTTTTCCCTCCAGCAACTCACGATTATTATACTCTTGTAATTAAGCTTTTCCTGTAATTAACCGGGCTCATTAAAAATCCCCTTTCAGTTAAGACAAGTTTAGGTCCGTTCTGTATTTTTATCATTTGCAGGCCTGCATTGCAATCAAGGCAGGGCACATAACCACCTCCCTGCGAGGTAGGCTGGATGAAGGGGGAAACCGGCCAAACATCCTTCCTTCAAGAGGGACTTGAACCCGGGTCTCCCCGGTGCCAGACCGACGCCTTCCCCGCGAGACCCTGATGGCCACGATCTTAATCCGAGAGGCTTCTCAAGCCCTCCCGGGAACAAGATTTCCTGGTGGTCTCCTGTCCCCCGTTTGGTTCTCCGAGGCCAGTCCGGGGCTGCCCTCGAGCTGGGCCTTCCTGACGTCCCTCAGCGGTCCTCCTCGTCCTCTCCTCCAAGGGGCAGAAGCGCCGCGAGGAGCCTCCCCGTTCGCCCGCGGTAAAAGGAGACGCAGGACCCGCGGAGCCTCAGCCGGGCGAAGGCGGGCCGTGGGTGAGCCCAGCCCAGCCCCGCGCCTCGTCTCGCCTCGCTCCCCTGAGGCCCGGCCTCTCCTCGCCGCCCTCGGCCTGGCCACGCCGCGCTCACCCCTTCCTCCAGCTCCTCGTCCGAGGCCGCCTCTTCGGGCTGGTCGAGGTCGATGTCAAAGACGCCCGCCATGACAACGCGCGCGGGACCGCCGCCTTCGCTGTCAAGAGCCGGGAGGGGCGTCCGGGTGAAGACTGAGGGCGCCTCATGGGCCCGCGGCACCCACCCACAGCGCCGCCATGACGGCCGCCATCGCCCGGGCTAGCCAGGCCCTGCCTCCTCAGCTCGCCGGAGCCACCGCGCATGCGCCGGAACGGGCGGACGCCGCGCGAGGCCGCGCGCGCGCCAAGCCGAGCTTGCGGCTCAAAGGCTGCCCGACGTCGCCGTGGCCATCCTAGAGGAGGAGCCGCCTCGATCCGCGCAAGCGCAACGGGTGGAATGGCGCTCCGACTCCCCGCGCGCACGCGTAACCACCCGGACTTGGCGGTCGCTCGATAAACTGGCACTGGAAGGCGGGTTCGATAAACCAGCGCTCAAGTGCGCCGGCGTCGATAGGACGCATGCGTCGAGCTCGCGACCGAGGCAGCCGACTTGCCCTTTTCTCGGATAATTCTTTCGAGACTGATTTTCCCGCCTCAGCCGACGGCCTGGGGGACGCATGCGCGAAATGAGTCGAAAGGGCCGCGACTGTTGCTTGGGGATACGCAAAGAAGGAAGCGTGGAGGGAGGCGTGAGAACTTAGGCGCATGCGCCGTGGGACGAAGAAAAAAAACGGGTAAAACGGGCTGTTGTATAACGTATATTTTTATATAGGATATACATGTAGAACGTGGATATATATTATATATATAGGCATATGTGGCTAACTATGTCAGCTGTCCATAATACAGCTAAGAATTTACGCGGTGTGGTTTTCTAATTTAAATTTGCCTTTCTGACAACTATTTTCGAATTCGTAATCAAACATATTTTGCTAATAACTTGTCTTATAATATTACAGGCTGCTTTTCTTTTCAGCAGGGGGTTGGTTTCTTTCCATCAGTAAAGTAATATATAAACATTTATTTTAATATATTTAGTATATACAGTAATAGACCATGCTAGTCTGTAAGAATTTGACTTAATAATAAGATTTGGTTGTTGTCTATTGTGTGCTAGGTATAAAGTTGGGTATATGTCAGACTCTCAGTTAATTCTAAATTTTTATTTATTAAACTTATATGCTAAATTTATAAGCAACTTGTGCAATTATAATTATACTGTATGTCTGACTCAAAAACACACACACATGTATTAAAATTATATTAACAACTAGCTGTACCCGGCCACGCGTTGCTGTGGCTCAGTCTGGTTAAATGGAAAAGAAAGAAAAGAGAAAGCGCACGTTTGTAATATGTTTAATTTCACAATGCTTGTCCCCCCTGCACATATTCTGCTAAAATTGAGACACAGGTATATTTTCCTAGATTTTCACGGGTACAGGTATGCAGGTCTTGGCGTATTCAGGTCTTTTCCCGTATATATATATATATATATATATATATATTCATAATATATAATGATAATGAACAAGTGAGTTGGGGAGTATGGGATTTGCAGTCCATTGGGGAAACATGTCACATTCCCTCTTAAATGGGTTCCTATATAGGTAGTCCTTGATTTACAAACACAGTTGAGGCCAAATTTTTGTTGCTAAGCAAGACAGTCGTTAAGTAAGTTTTGCTTCATTTTACAACCTTTCTTGCCACAGTTGTTAGGTGAATCACTGCAGTTGTTAATAACATGGTTATTAGTGAATCTGGCTTCCCCATGGACTTTGCTTGTTAGGAGATCGCAAAAGGGGATCACATGACCCCAGGGCACTGCAACCGTCATAAATGCAGGCCAGTTGCCAAGCTTCTGAATTTTGATCATGTGACCATGGGAGTGTTGCAACAGTTTTAGGTGTGAAAAATGGTCATAAGTTACTTTTTCAGTTCCTTTGTAACTTCGAATGGTCACTAAACAAATAGTTGTAAGTTGAGGACTACCTGTAATATAATGATTTGTGTGTGTTGGTGTGGAATCAGAACACAGGACCCCAAACCAATAATCAAAACTCACTATGGTATTTATAGGTAGTTCTTGACTTACAGAAGTATATGTGGTGACCGTTCAAAGTTACAGCAGCATGGAAAAAAGGGACTTACGACTGTTTTTCACAGTTACAACCTTTACAGCATCCGCATGATCTTGTGATCAAAATTCAGGTGCTTGGCAGCTGGTTCATATTTATGACCGTTGTTGTGTCCTGGGGTATCGTGATCCCCTTTTGCGACCTTCTGACAAAGTCAATGTGGAAGTTAGATTCACTTAACAATTGTGTTACCATCTTAACCACTGCAGTGATTCACTTAACATGTCAGAGCATGCACAGTCTTATTGTGCTGAGGTAACCCAGGAGTAAATACAGTAAACAGTGGTTTGTATTTAAATGGTGGTTTATATTACACTATATACAAATACACACTAGAAACAAAATACATACACATGGTGAAACAGCAAACTCCAATATACAGCAACTACAGCAGTCAACTGGACAAGAAAGAAAGACTCCAGCAAAAATCTTCCCTTTTATACTCTTAAAGGGATACACACCTGTTGAGTCATTTCTAACATTGCATCATTCTCCTTACATTACATTACATCATTACATAAGCTGTTTAGCCTTTAAATCATTATCCTGACATAACAGCTGTGGCAAGAAAGGTCATAAAATGGGACAAAACTCACTTAAGAAATGCCTCACTTAACAACAGAAATTTGGGGCTCAATTGTGGTTGTAAGTCGAGGACTGCCTGTACTGCAAGGCTGCCTCAATTAGCACAGATTCCTTCTATGTTTCTAGTTTGCTCACATGCTCCTCTTAAGAATTTGTTTTTCCACGCATTGTTCTGTGAATCAGTAAATAAAATTGGTGCTGCTGGATTCCAGGTTTAAGATGATGATTGAAGCTTGGTCGCTTCTTCTTCTTCTTCTTCTTCTTCTTCTTCTTCTTCTTCTTCTTCTTCTTCTTCTTCTTCTTCTTCTTCTTCTTCTTCTTCTTCNCTTCTTCTTCTTCAGGGCAAGGCGGCTGAGAATGTCCATCGTAGCCATTCAACTTGGCCAGTGTGGCAACCAAATTGGACGTGAAGTGTTTGATACCATCTACACAGACCTCCACAGCTCCCAGGGGTTCTGCTCCAAGAAAGAGAATGACTCTTACCAGGCAGCTTGTAAAGAGCGTTTCTTTGAGGAAAAAGCTGGAGGTAATAAGTCATCAACATAATGGCCTCTTGAAACGTTGGGGGGGGGGGCAAAGCTCCCCAACGGAGATGTCTGTGGAGATTCTCAAGTCATCCAGTTTATGGTTGTCCGAAAGATGCTTTTTCAAGAGGCAAGTGGACTTTCTTGTTTTTTCATTGAAGACGTTTTGCTTCTCCTCCAAGAAGCTTCTTCAACTCTGACTGGATGGTGGGGAATGGAAGTATTTATACTCCTTGCAGACAGCAGGTCATTTGTATTCTTTTAGAGAGTCGTTGAGGCCACTTGGAGGTTTATCTGTGTCCACATTTTGGACAGGGAGGACCGCTGGTTTGAAAGAGGGGTCAGAGAGGCCATCTATGTCAAAATTGAACAGCCCTCCCTCAACAGAGGGGGAGGGATACGACATCGTCTATCTCCAGTCTACAACACGGTCCTTTCAGCAGTGCCAAGAAGGCTCCCCACCCATTCGCACCACTCAGGTGACCCTGAGGACTCAGACAAACCTCCAGGTGGTCTCAACGGCTCTGTAAAAGGAATGCAAATGACCAGCTGTCTTCAAGGAGTATAAATCCTTCCATTCCCCACCATCCAGTCAGAGCCGAAGAAGCATCTTGGATGAGAAGCGAAACATCTTTAAAGGAAAAACAAGAAAGTCCCGTTGCCTCTTGAAAAAGCACGTTTGGAGTCCCCAAAAGAGAATTGAGATTGTTGACACACCCAGGCTGAAGAAGACTGATGGAGCATGGGACCTTGCCTATACAGAGCATTGGAAGTTACAACAGCACTGAAAAAAGTGACTTGCAAGCAATCCTCGCACTTAAGACCACCACCACATCCTTATGGTCAACCTAATCAAAATGTGGGCACTTGGCAACTAACATGGATAGTACAATGGTTGCAATGTCTTGGGGCCACAGGATCACCATTTGCGGCTTTCCTCGCCGGCTTCTCATAAGTCAATGGAGGAAGCCAGATTCATTTAACAATGACCCAGATTCAAAATTCCAAGAGGCCCCTCCCTTCACAATCACATGACCAAAATTTGGGGGCTCAACAGCCCCCTGGGCACATTTAGGGCGATTTGCAGTGTCCCACGGTCACATGACCGTGTTGTAAAACGGTTTTGCTGAAAACTAACGTTGATCCTCTTTTGCGACTTTGTGACAAGCAAAGTCAATGGGGGGGGGAGCCAGATTCACTTAAGAATAGGGTTACTAGAAGAATTAACCAGTGGAACCACCTGCCTCCAGAAGCTGTGAATGCTCCAACACTGGAAGTTTTTAAGAAGAGACTGGACAGCCATTTGTCCGAAATGGTATAGGGTTTCCTGCCTGAGCAGGGGGTTGGACTAGAAGACCTCCAAGGTCCCTTCCAACTTTATTATTATTATTATTATTATTACTAACATCAGCTGCAATGATTCACTTAAAAACTATGGCAAGAAACATCGTAAAACGGGGCAAAAACTCACTTAACAAATGGGACTTCCGGTTTGAGTTCCTGTGCCGATGGCGGCGTTTTCGTTCGCCGCCTGCTCCGAGGACGCGTAAAAGCCGCAGGAGCAGCGTCAAACAGCTGCTCTGCGGCTTGAATCCCCTTCCCGGGCAAAGGGGAGGGGAGAGAGCTTCCCCGATAGGGGTAGAACTCCTGAGCTCCCACAGTTTTATAGCTGTGGGGGTGGAAGTGAGTTCCCCCGGAGTCAGGGATTTTTCTCCGCGCTTTGGACTGCCTCCGTTCTAAGAACGAAGCCAGACACGGACTCATCCTCTGCACAAAGGAGA